TTCTGCGGGCTGCCTTTGCTGCTGGAGTTTACATTTCCAGTGAATGCTGAAAATACACAAAATCAAAATATATATACGTATATATTTAACACATTACGAATTTTTAAATCGAAATTGCAATATTTGTGGTTTGCTAAGCCTTACAATAGTTCAAATCGATACAAAGCTGGTAGCCTTGAATGAAAACATTTGAAAACATTTCATATATGTAGCAGTTGCTGTTTGCTGAATCAGAACAAATTTGAATCTAATGTAGTAATAATTCAATGCATACAATAGCTAGCAAGATAGATGAAAATTGGTATCTATATGAATCGTACGCCTACGTTTTGCATTATCTAGAGCATTTGGCCAACATGTGTATTATTGTAAGCAGAGGAGCTCGTGCCCTATCTCTTCCATGCGTCTTTTCTCATGCATGCCCAACAATGCGCTGATGCTTGAATTTGAATGGTGCTCGGCTTCAGCTAGCCGCAGGACGACTTCATTGTGAGACAGCACATCGAAGGGCAAATCCACATAATCACCTAATGTTTTCGTGGAAAAGGCTATTGTCGATTCAGCGGCGACGCAGTGTAAAAGTCGAGCATTTCTGGTTGACGCCCGCAACTTGAGTGAAGCTCAGAGAGTGTTGATGCGCAATGCTGCCTGAATTTTCAGTCCGGTAACCATTTGCGGCAGCTGACTTTTCCTGTCTTTAATAAAATTCATGCTTAAAGGGCCATTAGCTAATTCCTTAAATAATTTCTAGCAAAATCAATTTATGCCAAAGGATTTGCCATGCAGATTAGCTAAAGCTTTTAAGTTGAGCTCGGTTAAAGCATTTCATTTACGTTTTATTTACGCAGTTTGCCATTTGTTTTCACACCGCAGGCAAAATGTAGTTCTTTAGAATTACATTTACTGGCTGCACGTGACATGCAAATACAGCATAAAATAGTTTTTTCTCTCCCCTTAAATAATAATGGCAAATGCAATTATAAATAATTAAGACGAAAGTTAGTTGCAGCTCAGCCTGAGTGGGCGGCAGCTTATGTGTACAGCAGGAGCTTATCGAATGCATATATATATATATATATATATATATATATATGTATATATTCAATGCTAAGCAAGTATACATACACGCTATATACTTAGCCTCTCGAGTATAACTTAAACTGGGCAAAGCTAGAGCCGAATTCATTATGCAAATGTTGAGCAAAACTTGTGGACAATTCGTCAGGACAGTTCGTCAAATGTTTTTCTAAGGAAACTCCATCTAACACACATTCAACTGAGCTCATGTGCATTGCTTGCCTATGTGTTCGCTTTGATTGTATTTCCTAATATCTGAGCACGTTGACAGGACGCAAGTCTACTCCTTGTTTGTTTTGCGAAATGAAATTTCTTTACAATCAACTGGAAACCCTGGCGGATGTTAATCTGATCAGCCAGCAGCCAGTGGCCAACAGCCAGCAGCCAGCAGCTAGTTTACTTGAGTTAATCAAAGCTTATAGGTATATATAGACTTAATGCCTTAATTAACACTTTCAATATATGCAATATTTCAATTAACAAGCAATTAGCAAAGAAGCTAAGTATATATAAGTTATATATAAGCTAGCTGTTCATAAACCAATTAGAGAGTGCAAAATTCTTATCACAATTGTGACTGAGCTGAGTGGGCTCTGGGCCTACTAGTATGATAAGCTCTTAAGAGCAGACTCAAGGGCCTCTAGCCGTGGCTACATCTTGGCTACATCACTGGCCACATCTTGGTATAAGTCCCCTTAAAATTGATCAACAAACTATGCTGCATAAAAAGTTCTTGGAAAATATATATTTTTGGCACAAGAATTTGAATAGTGAGTCAGTCGTCAAGGCTTCGGTAGTTGGTTGGCATGCCATTGCCATTGGCATTGACATTTAAGTGGCGATTATCAATGTGGCTGTGTCTTTGTGGTCCAATGGCATCACGTTAAAATATCGTATGCTAAATGTGCATATATTTTGGCAAATTTTCTGCCAACTGCTGCGTCCCTTGAGCTTTTTTGCTTTCGTTTTCGACTCAAGTCAAAAGTAGCGTATTCAAAAATTCCCATATCTAATCAGTCAAGTGCTCATTTCTAAAGCAAAGCCCCTATGGAAAGTGCCTATGCATAAACATCTCCTTCAGGCCAACCACAGTGCCCATCGACCCATCGACCCATCGAGCCATCGAGCCATCGGCCCATCTCTCGGCTGCTCCTGCCGCTGCTGCTGTCATGTAGTGTGCTAAAAGCATATTAAGTTGGTAAACAAATTTTTTGAGCGCACAAAGCAATTGCATACCCTGCTGCATCTGTGCGGCTGATAACCAGCAGAAAGATGCTCCAGAGGCCATGCTCCGATGGTATCTAAGTGCTCAAGTTAAGCATTATTCGGCTCAGGGCAATAAGACGGCAGCTAATGCCGTTTGGCACAATTGACAAGAGCTTTAACATTCAGTTGTGTGAAAAGTGAACTTTATATTGAAAAATTGAAGCAAGTTTAAAGAGCATATCTAGCGTCGGCTTGTGTGCGTGCTGAAGAGCTTCTGTTTTTGGCATACAAATTTCATTTTCGTTTATTATTTATTTATTAAGTTTTTTGATTTTTATTTTCTCTTGTTATTTTTTTTTTTGTTTTCTTTAATTCTGTTCACATTGCCAAGTGCACAGGTGGCGTTGTTCCCCTTTCTAAAGGCTCTCATACCTGGCTGACAAAGCACATTTCATGTGTGTGTGGTTGTTGGTGTGTGTCTGTGTTGTTGCATGCTCTGTTGTCATTCGGTAGTTAGATGTCGATACCAGGAGCAGCAAACATTAGTGAACTACAGCTACACTGGCTCGGCTCCAGCTGCCGTCCAAATTGCCTAAAAACGCCTTTGTACAGGCCTAAAGCGAGCCAACAAACCTCACCCTGCGCCACACCCACACGCACACGCACAGATTTGGTACACAAACTATACAAAATTATCCACCGGATTTTGTGTGCAGCCCGAGGCTACAGACAACGCTTGACCACATGCATACGGGCGGCCATAAGCCAAACAAAGTCCTCTACAAAGGTCGAGGCGAGGCGAGGCATTGCTAGGACACTTCTAGCCTAAGTAATTCATATCCAACGTCTACCAAAAAGAAAAGGCAATGTCAGCCTCATATATGAATATGAATATATATACATATATATATATATGAATATGAATCGTATGTGCTTTCCTTTGATTTGCACAGATTTTTTGATTTTGCTTTTAAGCTCGCAAATTGAATGAAAATGCTACGAAACACAATGCATTTTGCATTAATTATTTCATTAAATTATGTTTCTGAACTTGTGAAGTCAACAAAGTTAAAGAAGTGTCTATTATTTGTATATAAGTCCTAACAAGCTTTATTTTGTGAAATGAGTTTCGAAAAGGCAAGCGCGCCAGAGGCCCACATGTTGCCCAAAATGTTTAATTCATATAATTTCTAATTTATTGCCCAGAAGTGCTGTAATAAATCCTAATTGGCCCACGCTGCGACTTGTAAAAGAAACTTTTGACTCGTGTTCTAATTTCTGTTTTGAAAAATAAAAAGAATTTTCTTTTGGCTCAGCAAGAATTCATGGCAAAAATGTTGCCAAAAAGTTGCAACTTAACTTCTTTAATTTATTTGAAATCAAATGAAAACTTTCGTAGAATTCTCTTCAATTTATTGTCAAATTACGCAAAATATTTCCATATTAATTTGAAATTAGAATGTGCAATAAATTGAGAATATTGCCCAAAGCTTGGTGCTGAGTTTAGTTGCATGTGTGTGTGTTTGTGGGTGTGTCTGCCACTGTGTGCTTAGAGCTGCTGCTGCACACTCATCCCGATGTGTTGAATGCAATTTTTTTGTTTTTGTTTTTTGTTTTTGTTGCAAAAGGAAGGGGAAGTGCGCTGTGTTGTTGCCAAAAGTTTGTCCTATATGACATTTGTCATAAATTTAATTAAAACAAAATGCCGGAAATAAGTGAAGTGAAGTGCAAAGCTGCGGCTGACAAAACTTGTCTAACTGGGTGCCTGACGGGCGCATAGACAGCGGCAGGAGCAGAGGCGGCAGGGCGACCAAGCGGTCTGGCAGACAGACAGCTGCCTCATGGGGTTTAAAACAACGCAGCTGCCAAGTTGTAGGCAGTATGCCCTGCCCCATATTCAGCTTGAACATATCACAAACACACGCACACACACAAAAGCTGCTCATGTGGGTGTTGTGAGCAGCAACGCAGAAAAAAGGATTGCTATGCGCTGTCATTAAAAGGTTTGAAAAAAGTTTGCGTTTTCCGCTGTAGCCAAAGAATTTGTATGGCAACCGAGCAAAAGCTGACAAAAAGGAGCAGAAAAAAAAAAATAGGAAAATAAAGAAAACACGAGCAGAAAGCAGCGAGTGGTGCTGGATTGTCCAACAACGCTTTGCACGCAAAACAAACCTTTGGCGAAATGCGCGCGCTGGATTGGGAGTGGCAAACGGGGACTCAGGGCCAAGATCTGAACTTTGTGCCGCTAATGTTGCAATTTCGTTAATTAAACAACATTTTGTTGCTGTTGTTTTCGTTCGAACATAGCTTCAGGCCTGAGTAGCGAATCGTGTTGGTATCTGGCTTCAATTTTGCAAGCTCCTGTGGCGCGAAATTGGCAGAGTTCCATCTCGGCGCATTCAATTTGATGGTTTTGCAATTGAATAAGGTATTCGACTCGATAAGTGAACTAACTCATTAAAGAATACCATCATATTAACTATACGCATAGTATACGAAATCTGAATATCAATTTATATCAAGAATGTTAATGCTTCGCTCTTATGAAAACATTTATATATATGTATATATATAAAATATTTTTATCCTTAAAATGTGTTTTTTTTTAATGAGAAGCGGTTTTAAAGTGCGGCTCTTCAGATTTACCAACTATTTGCAGTTATTTTTGTGGCTTTACATTCAGATCCAGCTGATTAACAGCTCTCGAAGTGCACCCTCATTCTTGGTTACGAAAATTTATTCAATTTAATTGGCCTGGCGCATTACACTGCATATTAAGTATACGCAGGGCTGGGACATACACAATTCTACCAGATCTCTATTAAAAGTAAAAAGCAATTACAATTTAAATGATATGCTTACCCGCAATTAATAACAAACTAACATTTCGTGTAGCCAAACACTGCATATTAAGTATACGCATTGGCAAAGACCTTAGTCAATCGTCTTGTGCTTTGCTCATTGGTGTTGCGTAGGCAATTTCATTGCTTTCTATAAACTTTCACATAGAAAAAGTTGGAAGTTTAGCCATAGACAACGGAAATGTTCTAATGAACTCGTTAAAGTGTTCGCTGCGCATTGCTGGCGTTTGGCTCGCCGACGGACACGCGCTGGGTGCAGCGAGTCAATTATTTATGGAGAACCTTTCTGAATATTTAACATGTGCTGCTAACAAGTGAATGCTATAACTCTTGGCCAGGCTAATTGAAGTATCGATTGGTCGCGTATTAAAAATGACTAACCGCAAGGTGCTTGAGTGGGGCAAGCAGGTGGCAGGGGTCTTGCGGCTGCAACAACTGTGCCGCAGTCAGTTATTAATGTATGAAACTGAATTATTTATTCGACGCTGTTGTTGTTAAACTCTAACGGGCAATAATAACATCAACAACAATAATCATAACAATTACAATAAAAATGAAATGTACTCCGACTCAGCCCCACGTCCAGCCCGACGCAAACAAGAATGGCTCAAGGCACACAAACAAATAAGCTGAGCGAGTGTGAGTGGAGTGTGTGTGTGTACATGTGTGTGTGTGTGTGTGCATTGAGTTGTCAAGTTCATTTGATTGTTATTAGGTGTTGATTACATAGCCCAAACAACAACTGCAGCAACAACTTAGAGCACGTGCGTACTTCATATCAGCTGATAAGCGCTATCAGTACCATTCGCCAACCGCACGCAGCGTTATCTCCTGCACCTGAGTATGCGGCGGAGTTGAGAGCGCATAGAGCACCGCCTGGGCCACATCGTTCGCCTGCAAGATGACATCGCCCAGCTGCGCCTTAGTATCGTCTGGCACTATCTCCGTGGATACCCAGCCGGGATTGATGCTCTGCGAATGGAAAATAAATATATTTATTTATTTATTTAACCAAACGAAAACTTTCACTATGATGATGACAAGACCAGGCCGATGTGTGTGTGTAACTGCTGATTAAGCAGTTCTCTCTTCAGATAAGATCTGCTAGTAAGGCCTTGGCCACAGTGATAATTCGAGTTGAAGTGAAAACTTTCCTGAGCTAAGCTAACGCCTGTTGCTGCTGCTGAACTTACCGTTGTCTTGATTTTCAACTTCTGTGTGATGAGCTCCTGTCGGCAAATCTCGTGCACGGCGGTTAGTGCAAATTTGCTGGGCGTATAGATGTTGAGGCTGGGATCTTCGTGGCCAGGATTGTAGCCGGCCAGGCCAGCGGTGCTGTTGATGAAGAACAAATGGCCGGCCATTTGGCGGCGACGCATGCTGCTGGCCGCCAGCTTGGTGCAGTAGATGCTGCCCATTAGATTGGTCTGGAGCACATCGGTGATGTCCTTGGTGGGCATGTCCAGCAGATGGCCATCGCGCAAGATGCCCGCATTGTTGATCAGCACATCGATGCCGCCCAGCTGCTGTTCGATCCACTCGAAGGCGCTGTTCACCTGCGTCTCCGCAGAGACGTCGCAGGTGCGCTGATGGAAGCGCGCCTGCTGATCCTTGGGCAGTGACTGACGCAGCTGCTCCAGGCGCTCGGTGCGACGTGCCAGGCCAACGACCTGCAAGCCGGCGGCGACCAAGATCTTGGCGCAGGCAGCACCAATGCCCGAGCTGGCGCCCGTTACGACCGCAACACGATTCTGCCACCGATCCATATTCGACAACTGAGTGAATGAGTTGATGCGCCGGCCGAGCGAGCTATTTATACAGAGAGCCAGCGAGAGACAGAGAGACAGAGAGAGAGAGAGAGAGAGCAGCTGCTTATCATTCGCTCACATTCATATGCCTATCGCTTCAGCTGGCTCTCTCGCTGCATGGTCTGACGTGTCGCTCGCTCACTGCTCTGCTCTGCGAAACAGGCCACCTCACAACAGCTGTTCCTAGGTTCGGGTTCACTGCGCCGATCCGGCTGGAGGGCTTGTTTGTTTGTTTGCTAGCTCTGCGCTGCTATCAGCTCACTCCGTCCGGCTGCTGATAAGTTCCCCCAAATAGGCTAAGGGTGCCATAAAGAGTCAACGATACTTTTTACATTTAGCAGTATTTTGTACGCATAAGAAGTCAGCTTAACTTGATACAATGAGAAACTTTTCGCTGCTTAAATTGTTGAATGTTTCGCTTTGGCAAACATAACAGAATTTTATTAAAATTTTAGTTTCACATATGTTTGCGCAGTCTTAAAAAAGTTTTGGCTTCACTTTGGCTTTCGAGTTAAGGTCGACTTTTAAATTAGCTGCTTGGCAAATGGGTTAATAAGGCTGCAGGCAATATAACCACACGGATACAAACAGCTGGGCATGTATACATATATGAATATGTATGGGCTATTAAAAAAAGCCAACGTGCAGTGCTGTTAAACGACGCCTCAATTTATGCCCAGCCCACACACACACACACAGACACACACCTAAGTACACCTACTGCAACAACTACAGCCATATGTACACACTTCAAATGGTATATGGCAGCCATATGTTGTCGGAGGATCTGCTTGGGTCTTTCTGCTTTATCGCCGTTTTTCCTTTTTTATGGAACGCTCGTAACATTCAAGAGATGCTTAAATGGGAAACAATAAAAGCTCGATGTGCAGAGGAGTGTGTGTGTGGGTGTGTGTAGGTGTGTTTGGGTGTGTGGAGTGGTGTATGGACACAGCTTAAAGGGTTGATGAAATGTGCAGCCGAAGCGGGCCCAAGCACTTGGCTCTAGCTTAAGGCCAAATGGGTGCAGCTTCACACGAGTTTCTAACGAGCAGCCCGTTTTTTATGCACATTCCCACCTTCCTTCTCTCTCTTTCTCTCATTCTCTCTCTGCCTGTCTGCTTTTCGCTGTCTCTGTGGCGAGCTGCAAGTGTTGCAACATGTGGCAAGTGTGTGGTCATGTTCATCAAATCACGACCGTCACTTGGCAGCACTTTATCATGCAATTACAAGTGCGAAACGCTTCGCAGGCGGCACTTAAAAAAAGTGTTCGTTACACCCGCACGCCAACAACAGCAACAGCAACAGCAACAGCAACAGCAACAAGAATGGCAACTGGGAAAAGAAGAGGAAGAACATACAACAACAATGGCAATATTCTTGGCATATCGATACACAAATTGCTTTACATTCTATCAATCATGCTGCCCCATCTGATTAACACTTGGCATACCCAAGCGTTCCATTGTTCTGGCTGCCCGTATAGAAGATAGAGAGAAGACGGAAGGCAAAACAAGCTTACTTCACTAAGCCGCAGCTGACATACTCTCATCGGTACAAGCAACGAGCTGAATGAGGCTTATAACAGCTGATTGGAGTCGACTTAACTCTCTATTATGGCAGCCGATGCGAAAGCAGATCCATGGAGAGCGGTCACATAGTCAACGCGGGCCCGTTGTATAGCGTCGGCTCGTGTGGCTGGACCCAATTGATAGGACCATTGATTGGTAGAGTATTCAAAATGTGTCCCGCCAAGCTGGGCTCATCAATAATTTGATGGCAATTTCTCGCATCTCATATTGATGCATGGCAATTTGTATGGATTTTCCAGGTATTTCACCTAAAGACAAACGAATCGCCCAAGATGCGAACTGTGCCAGCTTCCACTAGCTCACCTGTCCACCTGCCCACCTGTCCACGTGTCCGCCTTTGGCTCCAGCGGCTGTCACGCGTACAACGTTTGTTCCTCTCTTTGCTTATTTTTTGCCTTCTCTTTTTTTTTGCCTTATTCTTCTTTTGTCTTAACGGCTTCTTGTTGGCGTTGCTAAACGTGTCAATAGACCTGTGCTTAAGTACGGCATCGGCCCTGCCCCGGCCCTCCCCGACCCGTCAGACGCTCTGCATACAACTTATTCCCTGCTTCTTCTTCTTCCCCTTCATTTTCTTTTTTGCATACTTAAAGGCACCCACTAAAAAATAACAGAAAATCTGAAGCCTCCGGCAGCGATTCTCTAAAGAAAACGTGAAAACGTCGCATGTGGGCGAACGGCAGGTGTGTGGTCTGGGCCAGGTTGGTTGGTTCAGTAGCTACCTAAACTGTGCTTTGTCTGTTATTTTTAGCTTAACTCATATTATTTTATTTTATACTATTTGGTTTTCATTTATTTGCATGCCACACACACACGCACACCGAAACTCTCATGCACTTCCACACGAGCCAAAGAAAACAACAAAAATTGACAACGGCAAATAGAACAAAAACATTTTGACAGCACAGCAGAGCGGCAGAAGGACAGAGATAGCGGAAGGTAGAGAAAGAGAGAGTGAGTGTAATAGAGAAATAAATTATGCGAAATATCAAGAGTGAGAGTTCGAGACAAGGAGCGTTGGAACGAGCTTCAGCAAGTGAGAAATAGAGTACAAATCCCATCTAAACGATGCTGAGACACACTTCAAAGGGACTGTGGAAGACAGAGAATCGAAGTTCATGTATTTAAGCTGAGCTATGAATATGGAGGAAGTTAAAGCTGTCACAGAATGGCATGGAAAGATATGTGAAGCGAGCTCAATAGGAAAATAAATTGAAAAATTTATAAAAAAAACAAAGTAAAGTAAATATAAATTTGATATCTAAGTTACGGAATCCCTTGCAAATGACAACAATTTAACAAAGTTCAAGCTATTGCTAGAGCTAAAATTAGAATTGACAACTAGATGCCGAACAATGTGAAAAATAAATCATGATTAAAGTTTAATAAACCTTCTATTAGCTAGTTGTGCGGTTAGACCAACTTTTAATATGGGATGAAAACAATTTAGTGCATGCCACATGTGTGTGCGTGCGTGTGTTTGTTTGTGGTGCAGCTAGAATCTACATAAATTAGTTGGGGCCCAGGTACGAGGCAGGCGATGGCGTAATTTTATGTAAATTTCATTTAAAAACTGTTCTACAAATGCAAAACAATCAACAGCAACAATAACAAGTCGCATGTGGCATGTGGCATGCGGCATGCGGCATACGCCATGCGGCGACATGTGAGACACGCGCTTATATACAAGCAAAATAAACTGGGCCTGTGCTTGTGTTAACCTGGTAGTTATTAGCTGTGGTCGGCTCTGTGTGTGTGGGTGTGTGGGAGTGTGTGCTTGGCTCTATGAATGTGTGTAATTGCCAGCTTACATCTGTTTATCAACTGTGCCTATGCAGAGCACAATTAAAATCACTTGTCCTTTCTTCTCACTCCCACTCTCTCTCTCTCTCTCTCTCTATTTGTGCCTCTCTTTCATTTAATAAATTTTGCTTTTTGCTACACTTTGCACTCATTTTCAATATACGTTCAGACAATCCACAAGAGTTGTCTCTGCTTCTTCTCTGGCTCTTGCTGCTGTTTCCTCTCTCCCCCTCTCCCTACCCCTCTCTCTCTGTCTATCACTTTCTTGCCATCTTTCACAGTCTTGTCTCGTTGAATCGTTGAGATTGTTGCTAATATCGCAATTTGTTGTTGCACTGCCAGCAGCCATTGGCCTGGCTTCATTAACATCTTCGGCATTCGCATTCATTTCGCCAAGACGCTGACAGGACGTCAACGCTTAGCCCAGCAGTAGAACGATAATATCCTGGCACTGACAACAAGCAACAGCAAGCAATGAGCGCCGCATGCAATCCAAATATTTCAAATGCTCGATACAAATAGTTAAATTTACATTTGCCCTCCTCCCTCATGCTGCTCGGCCTTGTGTACACCAGCTGCTTCATCATTTTATTCGAGAATTAGACATTATTACTTTTCCTCGAATCAACTTGTCGATGCCAACCGTCTCAGCTAGTTTCTCGTTCTATGGCTTCAGTTCCATTCGATTTTCACCATGGAAATAAACTATTCATAATTTTTTTTTGCGAACTTTTGCCTCTGTTTTTGCAGCGTGCACTGCTCGCGGCATTTTGTTTTTCAATTTCTGAGTTTTCTTATACTCTTTGTATCAAGCACTAATATTAAATTCCATTAGTTCTGTTGAATGTGCTCTTCGCTGGAAAGCAAAAAGATTGTAAAGGCTTAGGCATTTTAAAAATAGAGTCGAACTCGTCGAACTACTGTGAATGCGACTTATTTTCCATTCTATATTATTTATTATATTCTATTTTTCTTGACCACTATGTGAAAATACTTTATTGGCCACTCTTATGGTCCGGTCTGCTGGTCTGCTGGTCTATAAGCCTCTCTGTTCGTAGTGTATTGACGGCTTGAGTTGACCTAAACTTTTGATTGACAACTCAACAATTGGGGGAGGCGAATAACTAGCTAGAATTATTAGGCTGTTGTTGCATTCCGCCATAGATATACCTTTGAATGTAACTGCTTTTGAGCCACGAATGCACAGCTCTTAAGTTAAATTGAAGCTTCAGTTAAGGACGGCCACATCGCATACTCCACTGACTTCTTGCTTGCATTTTCTATCGGCTGCTGAGCTACAAGTAAATATTGTTACATTTGATGACTGAGGAGTCGAACGGAATGCTTTCGCGTCCGGGTCGACCTTTGCCGTCTCCATTTTGAGGACCAACAAAGCTTGCACTTGCAGTACTTAAGTGTAAATTGTTGAAAAGGTTGCTGCGGATGGCATTGCGGGAAGGAAGTATTTAAAGCCAACAGCAGCGAAAAGAAAACCAGTTATAAAGCAGGTGAAATGCGAACAACAGTAACAATGTGAGCTGCAGCAGAAGCACCAGTAGGAGCATCAGT